TCGCCCGGCGGCGCCCGCTGGGCCGACCGCAAGGTGGGCATGGTGCTGCTGCGCATGCGGCTGCTGCGCATGGGTCGCGCTGCCGAGTCCCCTTCCCCGACTGCCCGTAGCCCGAAGGTGGGTCTTATGTCAGCTGGGGGGCCCGGCACGCGCGCCACTAGCGCAGCGCCGTCGGCGTCGTCGTCGGCGACGCCGTCGTCGTCCGTGTCGCCGTCGTGCTCTGTGGGCTCGTCGGCGCGCTTGGCCACGCTGCCGGCGCGCGTCCGCACCATGACGCGGCGCGACTAGCGCGCGGCGCTAGCGTCCGGCGACCGGCGCGGGCAGCGATCGAGCGCTCGAGACGCTCGACGGCCCCGCCGCGCGACGCTACGGACCGCTGCGCGGGTGTCCTCTTGCAGCGGCGCGTCGCACGTCGGCGTCGAGCGCCGCCTCTGGAAGGGCAGCCGCTGGAACTCGCCGCACGTCGCCGACGTCACGCCGCTCGCCGCGAGACTCGCGGAGCGCCCTCGACAACCCCTTCGAAGGGCGCTGCAACGCTGCAGGACACGGCGCAGACACGGGAACCCACCCGGCGCTCACACGCACCAGGTAGCCACCATAGTCCACCGGCCGCTTGTTGATCCTGCCAGAGAGAGCAAAAGAAAGCTTCTCGTTGTTGAAGTCAAACTTTCCGTCGTCTTCGGCAAACGACAGCCGTCTTTAGGTAAGACTTTAATGAATATCAGCAACCAGAATACAGCGCTACTTGCGCGAGGACGGCGGGGACGACGACGATTCTGAGGACCGGGACGAGGGCAGAAGATGCTGAGGACGGCGAGGACGGCGGGGACGGCGAGGACAGGCAAGGATGTTGAGGACCGGGACGGCGCGTCAGGAGCCCCGGCTCGTCGCGCCGCATATGGCCCCGGCGAAGAAGTCCGCGCTCGGGTCGCCGGCGCAGCCGAAGCCGACGGGCTCGGGCGCGCCGCCGACGGTCCTCCTCGGCGAGATGATGGGCTCGAGGCCGGAGGCGACGGCGACGGCCGTCGCCGTCGTGTGGTGCTCCGGATGGTCGAGGACGCTCTCGAGGTGGTGCAGCGCGCGCATCGTCTCCTCGCCGGCCGTCGCCAGGCGGCCCGCGACGGCGTCGCGCGGCGCGGTCGCCGCGGCGCCGAGCTTGCTGAGCACGCGCCCGGCGACCTCGCGCAGGGACTCCGGCGGCACGACCGTCGCCGCCTCCGGAACGATCTCCAACACGGAGACCGCGCCGATGCGGCGGTGGTCGACGAGCTCCCGCGAGCGCCTGATCAGGTCGTAGCGGATCATCTGCCAGCAGCCGTAGGCGCGCATGTGCTTCGGAAAGGCGTAGAACATGCCCTCGTCCATCAAGGCCACGAAGTCGACGCCGGAGAGCGCGTAGACCTCCGTCGTCGCGCACGCGCGCACGGTGTAGAGCCGCGGCCGCGGCTTCTTGTCGCCGACCGTGAGCATGCAGATGTCCTCGCCGATGGTCATCTTGGCCGAGAACAATTTGAAGGAGAGGATGGGGTTGATGGACTTCTCGCCTACCACGTGCGACGGGGTCGGATGTCTTCACATCTTCGGGCGACATTCGCGCGAAACACGCGCCCGTCGCTCGACGCCGCTTCTCGCCCCAGCAGATGCAGCGCCCGTTTTGGATCACGTACATCTCCTCGTTCGGCGTCATGTTCTGGTGGATCAGGAAGTCCCGGTCCATGAAGAATTTCGTCGATAATAAGTGGCTCACGGCGAGCACGAAGTTGTCGTGCTCGTAGATGAAGCGGTTGATGTCGCGCTCGAACGCGAACCCGAGCTCGTAGCTGTGGACGTCGACGCGCGAGTGCACGAGGTCGTGCTCCTCGGACTGGTCGTCGTCGTAGCGCACGGAGAAGAGCAGGGCGTCGTCGACGTGCGTGATGACGCAGGGCCGCAGCGGGCCGGGCCGGTCCTGCCGATTCTTGGATTTCGGGTAGACCGCGAAGCGCGTGCCCGGGTAGAGGCGGAACGTGCGGCGCACGGCCTGCTCGTAGAAGCCGATGCGGGCGACCTCGCGGCCGAGGTTCTGGTGCGCGACGATGGCCTTGAGGGTCGGCGAGAGCCGCTCGAGGATGCGCTTGTGCTGCTCGTCGCGGAACGTCTTCTCCGCGAGGCCCATGTACTCGCGGAGCTTCATCCGCAGCGCCGGCGGCGTGTTCTGCTCGTCCAGGTAGGAGTTGAGCATGTCCAGCGTCATCGTGTAGTCGTTGCCCACGGGGTCCATGTTGCCGACGACGTTGCACAGGTCGCCGATGAGGAACGCCATGACGATGCAGCCGACGAGGCCGACGATGAGGCAGAGCACCTCCTCGGCGAGGTTCGTCGTGAAGAAGTCGCCCTGGAGCGTGCCCAGGGCCCAGGTCAGCGCGTCGACGTACTGGGCCCAGATGCCCCGGTTCCAGAACCGCGCGAGCACCGTCATCGCGCAGTCGCTGTCCGGGCGCCAATTCTCGAGGCCGCCGCGCTTCTTGTGGCAGTCGTCGAGCGTCACCGCCGCGATCATGCGGATGGCGCAGGCCGTCCAGTGCAGCAGGAAGAGCAGGATGGCGATGTACTTGCAGACGGCCTGCTGGCCCGCGCGCATCGTGTTCCGCGCGGCGATGCGCGCCATGATGCGCGGCTGCTTGAGGACCCGGAGCATCTTCATGAGGCGCACCATCCTGATCATCTTCAGGAAGCCGCTCCTCGTGCTGATGAGCTGGTACGGTAAAATCGACAGGAGGTCCAGCAGGAACCAGGAGCACACGTAGTTGACCGCGATGCGCCGCCGGGAGACGACCCACTCGTTGTCCTCGAAGAACGCCGTGTTGAAGCAGAGGCAGAGATCCGCGAAGAACATGATGTCGACGACGCCGTTGAGCACCGCCAGCACGATGTACTTGTTGTAGCCCGGCGGGTCGCCCGCCGTGAAGTTGTCCACGAAATCGTCCGGCGCGCGCGTGAAGCTGATCTGGAACGGCGTCACGAGCATGACGTAGAAGATCAACACCATCAACCAGACGTCCCAGCCGAAGCGCGCGTCCGTGCGCGGGTCCTGGACGGGGAAGACGCGCCTCCGCGGCTGCTTGGGGAAGGGCGCGTGCTCCGCGTTGACCTTCTCGTCGAGCTTGGGCTTCCGCGCTTTGTGCAGGAGGAAGCTGCCCTTCTTGCCCTCGCGGCCCTTCGAGTCGTGGATCGACTCCAGCGACCGGTGCGTCAGCTCCTCGATGCTCTCCGGCTCTTCCGCGGCGCCGCGGCTCTGCTCCGTCTCGACGCGGCCGTGGCCGCGCGCGGTGAAGCTCACGTATTTCGTCTTGGCCGGCAGCGCGCGCTCCGGGGGCGCCGGCGCGGCCGCGGGCGTCGGCGCCGCCTCGTCGTCGTCCTTGGCCTCGTCGCCCCGACTGGGCCGCCGCTTCAGCTTCCGCGAGCCCTTCCGCGGCTTCTTTTTCAGTTCCTCGACGCCGACCTGGAGGGACGAGACCATCTCCTGGAGGCGGCGGATCTCGTCCTCGCGCTGGACGTCGTTCTTCTTCCCGTCCCTCGGCGGCTCCCCCATGCTGCGGCGCAGGCGGCGCAGGATGCGCCCGAGGTACCGGCTATG